AACTCATCTGCAGACACAAGCTCGGCATATCCTTGTTCAAGCATGTTGTTTACACATTCAGTGTATTCATCCTTATAATGAGCATCCTTTTCAAATCTCCGTCTGAGACTCTGGAGACGCTGCTCCGCGACACAGAGGTTATTTGGCAAGCTGGGACCTTCTCTCCTGTAAGGCAAATCAATGTGATAATGATTTCCAATACGTTTTATTGAACTACTAACAATATCCATGAAACACAGATCCTCTCTGGACATTTCAGTCTGCTTCTCTGAGGATCTTTCATTAAAATCATGATTGTACTGTTTAATCAACATTTCTTCAAGACACTCAACAGAAATCCTATTGGCTGTTACAGCAGTGCGGTTGTTTCCGCTGTTACTTCCAGTGCGCAGGGGACCATTTATGACCCAGCCAACTTTGGTTTTTACAGCATAAGGTCCACCCTCCACACTGTTTATCACCTTCCATGGCTCTCAAACGTTGGAAGCATCAGTGCCTATCAGTAGCTCCACCTCTGCATCAATGTTGTGAAGTTTAACAGGTTTAAGATGAAGCCACTGATCGACGTCACCTCGCTGGGGAATATTGACTGTAGAAACTGGCATGGTCCTTTGAGTCAAAACATCTGGCCACGCCATGAAATCATTTGCTTCCAGACCAGACAGAACTTGTGCACCAACAATCCTATTTTGACTCATTGTTCTCAAAAGGATATTGGTCTTTTTACCTTTTTAGATTCAGTCTTTTTGCCAGAGTTTCTGTACAGAATGTACCTGAACTTCCAGGATCCAAAAATGCAAAGGTTTGCACAATTTTATTGCTCTTTTGGCTCTTAACTTGAACTGGAAAAATGGAAAAAAAAAGATGCATCAACTTCATGACCTGAGGATGCACCTGGAACTCTTCGCTCTATATGAAGAACCCCTGGGTGCTTTTGGTGACACACGTTGCAATCCAAACGACTCCTACGGTCTTTGCTTGTGTGACCAACTTTGAAACAACCAAAACAAATTCCCCTTTCCTTGATAAAAGTCAACTCATCCCGATGCATTTTAGCTTTGAACTGCTTACAATTCTCTAGTAAATCATTGCTGTGTGAACAAAACAAACAACTGTGCAGAACAGTGGAGTTTGTTCTGCTTCCAGTGGATTGAGTTTTGACTCCTGGAACTGTGCTGACATTAGTGGCAAATTACTTCCCTTTTTTCTTTGCTTGGTGGAGCTTGAAACTTTAAAGCTGCGGCTGATAACATACTCTCTGTAAATACTAATGTATAGAAACCGTTACCAGCAATCATTCATTTTTTGTGTGGCTCTTTTTCACGGTTTGTTAACATGCTGTGTAGGTGTGTACTCGACGAGCTGATCTCGACATAATGGGGAAACATCTGGTTTGACTATTCTTCACCTGTAGTTTGAATGCTGAACATTTGCCTGTTT